AAAGAGAATTTTTATAAAATGATGTATCATTGGTACATGATGCCAGAGAAATTATCTAGAACGTATAAAGGCACTTCAAATGTACGTTGGAAATGTGAACATGAAGGGACATTTTATCATGCTTGGTGGACATGTAAAAAAGCTAAAAAAGTTGGATTCAAATACATATTTTGATACAGAGGATTTTAAAGATCAATATTCAGTTGAAGCCAGAACTTTTCATTTTAGGATTAATGGATAAACAGAAAAAAACAGGGAAGATTATTTCAGTATATGATTACGACAGCGAGATTACTATATGCGCAGAGATGGAAAGATTCAACACTACCCACTATGGAGGAATGGATGGTGAAGTTGACAGATTTTGCTGAAATGGATAAATAGACTTCTATTAGAGAAAAGACATTATCTGCATTTATTGAAGACTGGAAACCTCTTATGGACTTTTTGTCCTAATCAGGTTGTTTAGATACCTTTTGCAACACTGTGTTCTAGTCAATTAATCAATCAATATTATGGTTCACTGTGTTTGTGGAGAACCATGATCATTTTACTAATAAAACCAAATTCTGGAGAAACCATACAGATATAGTTTGATTTAAAACATCTATAGGGTTTCACCAAAATTTGGTGAAAACTAGGCTAACTTTCTGCAGTATTTCAAGTTGCCAACCTTTTTCTAAAGAGATTTTCTGTTTGAATTTCAAATATTTGGGGGGGCAGAAGGAAATTTGCATCTGAAACTTCCTTTGTCACTGCAACTGCTACACCAGCTAAATGTCTGTAGTTGCACAACTTAAAGCATAGCAGGAACAAATGGCAACACTATAAATATTTAAGAAGAGTCCAGGTTAAAAATTATGACATTGATGATACTGCACTTTAAATGAAACTCTAAAGGAAAAATTGTGATTAAATCTGACCGTTTAAATGATGGTATAACAGTACATATGTGAAGGACCAGGTTAGGGACAGATCATCATGGAGAAAATCTATCTATATGGTCACTAAGAGTCAACACTAACTTGATGGCACATAATCAATCAATCAATTAATGGTGTAAATTTACATGATAAATATTAGCATGGGGAAATTAGTGGAAAAACATTTCCATTTTTTAGGATTATGTGCCACTGAAGCAATAGATGTAGCCGTTCTGGAAGCAACAGATTTCAGCAGGACCCACTAAATTGCTATTTATCAAGATCCTCAATGCCATCACCTTCTTTCTCAACACAGGTTAAGCATTTTTGTCCCACTGCATATGTTAACCGACTTACAATACCAGGATGCTTGTTACCATCAATATGAATGATCGCTATATTAATTTTATATAGATTTAGGTTTGAATCACATACCAGCTTATTTAGGAGCAAATCTCATAGAACTGTGGAACTTCCTTCTTTGTTTGCCTGGGCAAAACTGCAATGTTACTGGGAGGGTAAAAGTGCCATGTAGGCTTTTACTGTAGTCAGCACATTTTGCATTTTGTTTCCCTCAGAATGCATTGCTTCCACATTTTTTTCTCTAAGAGCATGTGTAGACGATATTTACCAAAATGGGACAATGTTTCATGCAGTTAGTAAATTGGCCCCCAAGCCATAAAAGTCGTAAGAAGCATGACAGCTTGGAAGTTATCACAGGACTGCTGGTTTTTTGTTTTGTTTTGTTTTTGCTACAACAAACGCACCGCCGCTCTGAAAACGGTTAGCCTTATAAAATACCCGAGTAAGAGAGAGGGGTCTCACGCGTACCCACCCCCATGGGACAAAGTGGCGGAGATGCTGCTCTTTCCCCCCCAAACCCCTTGCAACCGGCGGCTCTGGGCGCCCCAATGCAGCGAGCATCCTCCCCGTCGTCATGGCAACTAGACAACTTGCAGCCTGTCTGTGTCGTCCCGGCGGTAGCCGTTCGCTAAAACGTCCGAGTCTGCCCGCTTTCGACCCTGCACCTCACCAGCACCTCCTCCTCCTCCTCTTCCTCTCACCCCCGCAGCTCACCCTCGCTGACCTGCCGGGCGGCGCTCTTCTTCTTACACCCTTCGGCACCATCGCGTTGCAGAAACTTTCCACCACGCTCAGCAGCCGGAGAGCCGCAGATGGTACAGGGGCCGCGCGCGGACAAACTAGGTCACGACGCGGAGTCGTTCCTTATTCTTCCCGCCCCCTGGCGGGGCTGACCAGCGCCACATACAGGGGAAGGTCCTTTCTCCTCGTCCACCTGCCTAGACCGTCTGTTTTTGTGAGTTCGGAAGCAATGATTGGAGGGACAGGAGCCGGCTTTCTGTTTCTCCGATAAGGGTATCATATTAAAAAATATGAGGCGCCACTGGATTACGGGAAAGAGTAAACTGAACTTTTCGGTCCCGAGGTGGTAGCCGTATGCCCCAATCCTATAAATCAGTGTTGTCCAAACTTGGCCACTTTAAGATGGGTAGACTTCAACTCCCA